CAGACTGGGGTACATTGAGAGCTTTGATTCCATGGCACAGGAAAAGGCCTTAAAAAGGGGTACATTGGAAGTACCTGGGGAATATTTCACTGTGGGATTGCTGCAGAAATCAAGTGAAAACCCCCCGAGTGATTGTTTTCGCTACAGAAATCACACTCACAGGTTGGAGGAATACCCTTTCAGGGGGAAAGTGATAAGTCTGTTTTGTGTTTTGTGGTTAATGTTGTTTGTATCCATATGCTTTACCCCTTCTTGCTGCTTTGCAACCTTATGCACACATTTGTGTATCAATGCCTGTTTTTGTTGTGGAGATGTGTATAATGAAAAGAGACAAATGGTTTCAGGCTTCCGGGAAAAAGCCAAGATGGAAAAGAGAAAAATGAAAAATGAGAAAAATGAGAGAAAAAAGGAAACGCTACGTACAATGTGATGAAATGGTGCCTGTCTTTTGGGACAAGGAAAAATGTTCGTTTACATTTTCTGGACAACTTGAATGTATGTGGATGGCTAGCCAAAAAGGAATGTGTGGAAACTGTTTGTGTTGGGAAAAAAAATATAATCTTTACAGGTTTCAAATAAAAAGAAAAAGAGGATAAATTCAGGAAAAATACACATGATGATGGAAAATGCCAAGTCTATATGTTTTCATGTGGGTAAGCAAAACCAAGAAGAAAATTAAAAGGTATGTGAAGAAGGTATGTGTAGGGAAAGCAGGGAAAAGCAAGTCAGAATAAGAGAATAGGGTTAATACGGGAGAAAAACCAAGATGTGTAATTGCCTAGGACAAGGTAGAATTGAAAGGAGAAATGTAGCCAGAGAATATAGAGAAAGTGATACAGTAGGTGATGAAATAATAGGAAGAGAAATGTAAAGATCTAGCATGTGCTTAATAATAGAAACCTGAAATATTGAGATGTGAATGAATAGATTCCCTTTTTGAAAGTTTAGATAAATGTGTGGAAATATTGCAGTTTAGAATAAGTGAATGCATGTATGAAGACAGATTTGGATGCATCAAGACTGTTATGTGAGGTTGATTATGTTTAATTATATGTTTAAGCATTTGATGGGTTAAAAAGAGAAAATAATGTGTTGAGAGTATTCAAGAATGGCCAACTTGAATGCCCTCACTGGGAAAAGGGAAAGGAAAATTTTTTGAAAAAGAAAAATTGAAACTGTCTCACACAGGAGAAAGGTAGTGACAATTTGAGATATATCTAAGCATAGAAGATTTTGTGGGAAGAGCAGTGACAAATTGAATGTTATGATTGACATGTACACCCCTCTTAAAAGTCCAAAATGTCGGTAACTGAATTGATAAGTGAATGAAGATAGATGAGGGTAATATGATGTGGAAGTAAAGGGGAATTAAGCATTAAGAAGTACAAATTTTGGAAATGTTAATGATTTTATGTTAGCCTGTTACAGTACCCTCTGTTGTGTTGGAAGACTCAGAGTGGCTGGGAAAATTTTTGGAAGTGTGATCCCTGTGAAAAAATTGGAAATGGTCTATTGCTTGATGAATGTCCTAATGCTATGAGGGGAATGCCAAATTGCGGATGAATTAAGCCTGCTTAAAAAGGAGATCATACAGTGACTGACCCTGACTTACAGTTTAGGAGTTGATCAACGGTATAAAGAACTAATTACAACGTACATAAATAAGAAGATATTTCAAAGACTTAAAAATATAAGAGGATAAAAGTGGCTCTGAATAAGAGAGAGAGCCAACATCTGTAAGAAGAAAGAAGAAAGAAGATTGGATGGACTTTCAGGGTTGGGAGTGTGTTATTGTGGACTCCTTATCATCTTGGGGTTGGTATGGATGTGTTACAATTACAGACATGTTTTTGGGGGAAAAGCGTATTTATGTAGGCATGTGGTATATTTATTACCTGATTAAGTTGAGTGTACTCATCCCGAAGGTAGTACAAGGAGGGATGGGAACAAAAAACATATTCCATCAGATGAGTCAGAATATAGCAAAAGAGACAGAAGTTACTGAGTGTTGGATTTGCAGTCATGGGCCTATTTCCCAGCGTGAGGGATGGCCACTAATGGTAGGAAACGCTATTAAGTTAAAAAGGATGAAGCACCTTACAGCCTCAAAATTATGAGATGATTGAAATCTTACTTGATCCAGAGCAGAGCTATAGTGACACATAAAGGGATCTCACCGGAGGCCCCAGCATGTATCACTTGGGAAAGAAATGAGAGGGACACAAGATCAGGAAAACCTTCTCCATACTCACCAAATAGAACTTGGTCATTATCCCTATTGCAATCTCCTTCTCCATGTATTTAAAACAGAGGCTTTCGAGGACATTAGCCTCTTAGCCCATTTAGAGCATTCTAAACGGATGGGAAAAATTTGATAGTGTTGTTTTACTAGAACTGGATACCCACATTAAACAGGCCCAGGAAAAAGCTGCCAGCAAAAACCGTGATCAGCCAAGGACCCCCAGCAGGGAGGTACCGCAGGGTAAAGGGGAACCCCCCTTTGAGAGACCACCAAATGAAAGATCACAGCAGAGTCAAGGGGAACCAAATCCTGCCAGAATGGTAAAGGAGGAGGAAACCCGTTAGGCTGTGCCAAAAAGTCTCTGGTAACAAAGGGAAGGTTACCCTCCCCGGGCTGTATCGGATTTGCGGACAGTGGGCAGGAAAGATTTTGCCACCTTTTTGGGTTGGAACATGCACGATAGGTATCCTAATGCTAGCAGATGTGATAATATATAGAATAACCATCCTAAATGATTTGGAAAAGAGAACAATTTTTAAAAAGGGAGTTTATGATGAAGAGGTTGGAGATGATCCAGACAGAACTTATTTAAATGAAGGAGTAAGGTTGGGAGCCATTTTGTTCCCTGCTATGGGTTCAGTTTCAAATATAAGACAATTCGGGAAAAACTCTCAGCTCAAGTTGAAAAGTTGGAAAGAAAACTGTGGTTGGAATAAGGGCTTTGCAGCTATAATGATAAGATCTCTTTATGAAGTTACAAAGGGGGGTGAAAGGGAACCATTTAATTGGACCCCAAATTTGCCCAAACATTTGCATAGTTGAAAGCAAGCTTTGATGCAAGCATCGGCCTTGGGCTTGTTTGAATTGAAGATGCCATTCATATTTTATGTTGATGAATGAGATGAAATAACAGGAGGGGTGCATACCCAGCTGTTAGGAACATGGCCGAGACCAGTAGCTTACTTGTCTAAGCAAATTGACCCTGTAGCAAAAGGTTGACCAACTGGTCTATGTGCTGTAGTTGCTATGGCCTGGCTGACTCAGGAAGCTGATAAATTGACTTTGGGACAAGAGTTGATAGTTAAAACCCTCATTCAGTAATGGCTATCATGAACTATAGAGGATATCATTGGTTCATAAATAGCCATATGCAAAAATATCAGATTTTATTATGTGAAAACTCTTAAATCCAGTTACAGACTTGCAGTATATTAAAGTCTGGTTCACTTCTGCTTGTTGAAAGGGAAATGCTTCAACATGATTGTTTAGAAATTATGTATGAGATATATTCCAATAGATCTGATATAAAAGATTAACCATGGCCTGAGGTAGATGCCACTCTTTTTACAGATGGAAGTAGTTTGGTTGAAAAAGGAAAAAGATATGCTGGATATACAATAATAACTATAACTACTGTGTGGGAAATAGAACCACTTCCTCTAAATGCTCCAGCTCAGAGGGCAGAACTGATAGCACTCATTAGAGCTCTGGAGTTATTAGAAGAAAAAATAGTCAACATGTATACAGATTCTAGATATGCATTCACTACCTTATATGCATGTGGAGCATTATATAAGGACAAGGGACTACTAAATTCTGTTGGGAGAAATATAACATAGTGAGACCATTTTGAAATTATTAGATGCTGTTTGAGTTCCTGCATCAGTAGCAGTAATGCACTGCAGAGTACATCGATGTGACGAGGAATGTGTGACCTATGGAAACTGGTAGGCTGATACCACAGCAAAGGCCGCGACCCGAAAGGGACGAGGAAAAGAGCTGGTCATAGCCCCTTTGCAGATAAAAGACTGGATACATTATACTAGAATAAGGAAAGCATCACTCGAAGGGACTGTGACTCTTGATCCAAAAGGATTCCTTTGAGACTTTGTATCATCAAACCAGCAGTGCCAGAAGGAGGACTACGGCTCTGGTTTTGACTACATCTGAACGCGGGTTAAATACATCAGACAGAAGAATGAGGAGCACTGTGAAGATGCCAACGTGTATGGAACATTCTTCAATAACTGTGATAAATGATTGTGTTAAATATTATTTTTTTTTGCTAAAAATGTAATTGCGTGAGTTTGCGAGTCTACTGTGGAACATCCGCTCGCAAAAAGGGGGGAATGTAGCAGTCAGCGGAAAAGAATGATTATAAAAATATATTTAAAAAAGAATATAGAAAAGCATACCTTGAAATACTAGCGAAGGAGTGTTTGCGGCAGGGAGAAGCGGAATGTTCCATAGACTAAAAGTAAGGGCTTCAGAGATCAAGGAAGTTAAATATTAACGGGAACATGACATTTGGGAAACAATAATAAAGTGAGATGTTTATCATCAAGGGAATGTTTCTGGCAACCAGACAAGGACGCTTGTGTAGATAATTGATCTGAGGCTGGAAAAGGTCAGAGTAACATCTGGTGGTTCAGTGAGGTAAATAGCAGGTAACTTCAGATATATTACGAATATGGGAATAATTAAGATTTGAAACAATTATAAGTACGTCAATATAATATGTCATTGTGATGTATGGGAAAAGGTAATGCGAAATACCTCTGTTAATGTTTATATCTGTGTAAATGTCAAGACAGTTATACGCATGTCTAAGACCAGTGGATTTCTGCTATAAATATTGCAACCTTACTGATTTTCAAGTACGCTTCAGATCATGCTTCTGAGCGTCCTATCATGATAGTAAATATGCCTGGAATCAAATTTGCAGTCTCCGTCTCCTTCCTGCCTGATTGTGCTCTACATGATCCCGGGTAGCAAATCTGCCGCGACATATTTCTGCTTCTTCACAGACCAGTTGACCTTGCTGACATCTTCGATTTCCTCCTGCGGCCTGAGCCCTGAGACCAAGGCCACGTCGTGGACGCTGCCACTGGCCAAAGAAGGAGAGCCCGCAGCGGCTGCGTTTGAGACCCTTCCCTGGCAGGTCAGCATCCAGACCCAGGGCAAGCACTTCTGCGGAGGCGCCATCCTCAGCAACTGGTGGATCTTGTCTGCGGCTCACTGCTTCCAGAGAGACCTGTGAGTACCGAAGAAGCCAATCCGGTCTCCCCTTTGCCACAAAAGAAGGCCAACTCTTCAGCAAAGTTGCCCAAGTGGATTGCTTTAAACATTATGGAAGTTGGGGATGTGCATCCTAGGTTGCATCTTGCAATGCAGAAATGCAGTTTTGACACCACTTGAATTGCCATGGCTCAGTGTTATGGAATCGTGGGAGTTGTAGTTTTACAAAGCTTTAGCCTCCTCTGCCACATAATGCTAGTGCCTCACCAAACTACAACACCCATGATTTCATAGCACTGAGCCATGGTGTAAAACTGCAATAATTCTGCAGTGTAAATGCGTCCCTAAAGTTATGCGCTTTTGATTGTTATAGACCAGGCATGGGCAAACTTCAGCCCTCCAGGTGTTTTGGACTTCAACTCCCACAATTCCTAACAACCGGCTGTTAGGAATTGTGGGAGTTGAAGTCCAAAACACCTGGAGGGCTGACATTTGCCCATCTCTGTTACAGACAGTAAAAATATGGATAATATATTTCTCTGTAGTAATTTGCTAGGTCCTCCAGACAGATTCTATGGTAGGCTTTTACTGGAAGTTACTATAGACATGTACTGGAGGACCTAGCAAACTATTATTATTATTATTATTATTATTATTAGGAGCCCTGGGTGGCACAATGGGTTAAATCCTTGTGCCGGCAGGACTGAAGACCGAAATGTCGGCGGTTCGAATCCAGGGAGAGAGCAGATGAACTCCCTCTATCAGCTCCAGCTCCCCATGCGGAGACATAAGAGTAGCCTTCTACCAAATTGTCAAACTTCGAAACATCCGACCATCCCCTGGGCAACATCCTTGCAGACGGCCAATTCTCTCACACCAGAAGTGACTTGCAATAATTAAAAAATGTTGTTGTTGTTGTTAATGTGGAAAAGCAAACAACCAAAAGAAGCTGCAGCAGTTTGCTTTTGCCTGAGCCTCTTGGGAAGGGCAGGATTTCTGGCTGGATCTACACTACCCTATAACCCAGGATCCGATCCCAAATTATCTGTTTATCCCAGATTATCTGATAGTGTAGACTCATATAATTCGGTTCCAAGCAGACAATCTGGGATCAGGTCCTAGGATATAGGGTAGTGTAGATCCAGCCTTTGCAATTTTTGCACTTTGGACTCAGTTCATAGTAACCCAAGTTGGCTGAGGACAAAGGAGGAATATAACAGTAGGAAGTTTATTTATTTTGCGTCAAAAGCATTGCATAAATAAGTTTTAAAACTGATAAAACAGAGGGAGCACATGCAGCTAAATAATTCTTGACCAAAAACGGGCAACAGCAACTGCACTGTCTGTAGCTTTAAACAATTCCTCCTCTGTGCATGAGGCAAGACATTGTGGACAAGCATACAGGTGTGGAATTGTTCGTTCTGCTCCACAGTGTTTGGATTGTGTCTTCCTGAGTGGCAGAATGAGGTTAGGCTAGATGGTGCTTGGGGTCTCTTCCCAGTCTATGATTCTCTCAGTTGAAGTGCAAAACAGTAGTGCAGAGCAAAGCTCTGGATTAGAAAGTTTAATGAAGTGAGTCATTAGTTTCAAAGCCTCCTTCCTTTTTGTTCCCAAGGACCTCTGGGCTCTTTGTTGTGGTCAATCTGGAGGGGGGCACCTTGGAGGAGAGGGAGCTGGACCGGGTGCTCATCCACCACGACTTCAATGGCAAGACCCTCAGCAGCGACCTGGCCTTGCTCCTCTTGGACTCTCCCATTGACTTCAGCCGAGAGACGACCCCCATCTGCCTGCCTTTGGTGCACGACATCAGCATGTGGCAAGACTGCTGGGTGGCCACCTGGGCACCCAACCCTTCTCCAGGTATGGCTTTTCATAGTTGACGGCGTGGGTAGGAATCCTAGAACCACAGGCTTGGAAGGGACCTCTAGGAGGCATCCAGTCCACCCCCTTTTCCCCATGCAGGAAGACACAACCCAAATCCTCCTGACAGATGGCCATTTATGGTCTATAAAGCCTCTGAGGATGAGGACGAGGATTTTTTGGTCGAGCCTGGTGTTTCTGTGGGAGGAAGGGGTAGCGAAAGTGTGGTCTGGTTTTTTCTTTGTGTCAGGAGCGACTTGAGAAACTGCAAGTCGCTTCTGATGTGAGAGAATTGGCTGTCTGAAAGGACATTGCAGGGATGACCAGATGTTTTGATGTTTTACCATCCTTGTGAGAGGCTTCTCTCATGTCCCTGCATGGGGAGCTGGAGCTGACAGAGGTAGCTCATCTGTGCTCTCCCCAGATATGAACCTCTGACCAGTTGGTCTTCAGTCCTGCCAGCACAAGGGTTTAACCTATTGTGACACCAGGGGCTCGGTGTGGTGCTTGAGTGAAAAAGGGATCAAGTAGGTGGTTGGGCTGCAACAGCCATCCAGGCTGAAAAAAATTAGACTTCCCAAGGTCACTCATGGGGATTTCTATGGCTGAGAATTTTTGGAATTTCTGTTGTTGTTGTTGTTGTTGTTGTTACCAAGGCTGGGTGACCATCTGTTGGGAGTGCTTTGATTGTACATTTCCTGTATGGTGGAAGAGGAGTTGGACTGGATGGCTCCTGGGGTATCGATTATTATTATTATTATTATTATTATTATTATTATTACTACTACTACTACTAGTAGTAGTACTAGTACTAGTTCTACTATTGCTACCAAGGCTGGGTGGCCATGTATGGAGAGTGTTTTGTGCTTTTCCTTCATAGCAGAACAGAGTTGGCCTCAATGGCCCCTGTGGTCTTCCACTGAAATACTGCTAAGTTTATGTTGGTTAAAATTATTCTTCATTTTAAATATTGTGTTCTTCTTTCTTTCGTTTTACACTGTGTGAATTATTTCACACACTCTCCATCCATCCACTACTGATATAATATATATTAGGCCTGGGTAACAACGGAAAAATTTGTTTCTAAAATCGATTCGTTTTTTGGGGTTTTTTGCGTTTCGATATTTAAAAGAATTCCGAATTTTTTTTAAAAAAGTTCGATATTTACGAAATTTCGTAAATGGTAAAAAAATTACAAAACAATAACGAAACAATAACGAATCGATTCGTTAATGGCGGACGCGACCGCGCAATACGCTAAAAAACCTCCAAATGGGACAGGGGGAACTTCTGAAGCTTCCCTCTCCCTCTGTTGTTGACTGTTGGTGTGATATTATAATTTTTTTTCACTAATTAAACAAAAAACAACTATAAAACTTGCCCCAGACATGCGGAAATAATAACGAAACGACCTCAAACCAATAACGAAACGAATACATAACGAAATACGAAGCATTTTAAGAAACGAATTGAAAAATTCGTTTCGTTTTTAAGTTGCTCCAGAATGGTTCGTTATCGCTTCGTTATAAAAAAATAACGAATTTTTAATGAATTACGAATTAACGAAACGAAACCGCCCAGCCCTAATATATATATATATATATATATATATATATATATATATATATATATGGGCCCCCTAGTGCCGCAGCCGGTTAAACCACTGAGCTGCTGAACTTGCTGACCAAAAAGGTCGGCAGTTCAAATTCAGGGAGCAGGGTGAACTCCCACTGTTAGGCCCAGTTTCTGACAACCTAGCAGTTCAAAACCATGCAAATGTGAGTAAATCAATAGGTACCGCTTCTGCAGAAAGGTAACAGCGCTCCATGCAGTCATGCCCACCACATGACCTTGGAAGTGTCCACGGACAACGCTGGCTCTTCAGCCTAGAAATGGAGATGAGCACCACCACCCAGAGTTGGACACGACTAGACTTAAGGTCAGGGAGAAACCTTTACCTTTTCTATAATATATAAACATCTATTGGGGTTCCACAAGAAACTTAGGCTTCAAAAAGGGCTCAGCAGCAGGAAAAGTGTGAGAACCCCTGATCTAGACACTCTCCTTCCATTGATGCCTGGTAGAATTGTATGGGCTTTTTTCGCTGCTGCATCACACTGATCATTCATGTTCACTTGTGGTCTTCAAAGAACTCCTCGATTGAAAAGCTCCCACCATCACACAGTTCCAGTTTCTCTTAACATCGTATAAATCTCTCACCTTTTACAAAGTTCTTCCTAAGACTCTGGTGGAATCACTTTTCCTGTAGTTTGTATCCATGGCTCCATTGTGTTTTGGTCTCTAGAATAGCAAAATGCTTGGATCGTGTCTTCCTACCTAGCAGATTGGAGTTGGACTGGATGGCCCTTGGGGTCTCTTCCAGCTCCTAGACTCTGTGATAGTGGTGTTCCTGTTGCAGAATATACGTTACCCGAGATCATTAGAGTTCTTTTGGAGAAGGAAGAAGATGGAGACAGCTTGTCCAATTTCCAAGGCTTTATTACTATCTCTGCAGAGTATAGGGTGAACAGCTCAAATGACTGTCACAACTAAGGTCCAAATTGCTTCGGTCTTTTATAGCAGAATATCACCCTTTCCACACATGCACAGAAAGAGTCTGACATTTACACAATATAATCATTAACAGGTGTTTCCATATATAGTTTCCAAAAACATCTTTATCAGGTCTTGGCAGCCACGTTGTGAACCCAAACATCTGCTCAATTATGTAACTTATCCCAACCTTCAACCGTTACCCTAAGATGACTCTTATATGTTCAATTCCTTAAATCTCTAATTAAATTATAACTTTTATATGCTTATAACATAAGATTTGATCAAGGCAATCTCCTTTAGTCAATCCAGCCTTAATTACTTCATTATAACTTATTTCTTAATATGAAGACCATGAAGGAATTTATTTAGGATAAAGCTCTTCTGAAATTGCCTGCTATTTACATTAAGTGGTCAGTGGATGGCGCTCTCTCACCATATGACCTTAGATGTTCCAAGCCTTGGATCGATACTATTGATTTCTTTGTCCTGCCAAACTTCTCTTGTTGACTATGTATGTATGTATCTATGTAAACATCGGCTAGAGCAAACTGACCCAAAGTCCAGTGTCAATCAATATCATGCTTGCAAATTCACTCATTAGAAATGGTCTTTTTAGGATCAGGTAGGAACATGAATCTTCTATTTTATTCTAAATTATTATGATTTCCCTTTATTATTTTATTTTGTCCTAACGGCTGCCACATTCCTATTGCCCGTAATTTCTGAGCTGCTCTTCCTTTCTTTCTCTTTCCTGGGGCCCCCCAGACAGCAATGAGGGACATCCTGCAATGATGATGGAGAAAACTGATATGAACCTGATCGGCTCGGAAATATGCGCCGAGAAAATTCCGGACCTGACTGAGAACGTGTTGTGCACCATGTCTGAAAAGGACACTGACGGGGACTGCAAGGTACGGTCAAGCTGGGCTTGGGGAACTGGTGGGATCCTGCTCATGAAACTACACATCTGGTAAATCACCAACAACTATAAGATCTATAAACTGAAAGGTTGCAAGTTTGAAGCCCCAGGTCGGTGTGAACAGCCGTCTTTACTATGATTCATTATTGGAAGTAGCAGCCAATAATGAAAGGATCAAGGCAGTGACATCTGCTGCCCATCCTCTGTTCGGATATCAGCCAGCATGGCAATGCCTTAAGGGTTGGAGGTTTAGCACAGCTGGTAAATCACCAGCAACTATAAGCTCTATCAACCAAAAGGTTGCAAGTTCAAAGCCCCGGGTTGGTGTGAGTGGCCGACTGTCAGCCCTGCTCACTGTTTACCTAAGCAGTTCGAAAACAGCTTTAGCTGTAATTACAGAAATTAGATACCGCTAAAAGTGGGGGAGGTGTTTTACAATGCCATAAAGAAAGAAGATCAGAAAATGCTGGGCGACCCAAAGAAAGGACGAAATCCTGTTGGCTCTTCATTATAGAGGATGGAGCGATGGCACCCCCTGTGGTTGGACTCGAGCCCAACCTTCCATGGCATCGAAACAATACACCTCCTTTCTGTTCTGTCTGTCTGTGTACTGTCTATACAAAGCGGGATTGAATGTTTGCCATGTATGCACTCTGTGATCCACCCTGAGTCCCCTTTGGGGTGAGAGGGGCAGAATATAAATAAAGTGTTGTTGTTGTTGTTGTTGTTGTTGTTATCATTATTATCATTGTTATTGTTGTTGTTGTTTGACCTGTTTCTCTCTCCCCCTCCTCTTTCCAGGATGAGAGCGGGAATCCTTTGGTTTGCACTTACGGAAGCAACTTCAAATGGTTTGTAGTTGGCATTGCCAGCAAAGGAGAGGGCTGCAAAGGAGACGGGAGCCCCGCCATCTACACCAATGTCTTCAAATACCTGGACTGGATCGAAAAAGCTACGGCGACCGAAGGAAAACCCTTTATACCCGAAGGGGTGGATGACCTTGCTATCCGAACAGAACTCACGGTTCGTAATTTGGCTCCTTCTCCTCGCTTACCTTGTGCTCTCTCCATAATCACTCTTGTTTTAATGTCGATAGTTTTCAATTTATAATAAAATTCATTTTGCGGCAGGAGTCTGGACAGTGTCTTCCACATGCGTAAGATCCCCTATTGAAGTGATAGGATGTCGAGAAATCCAACTCTTAAATTTTGAATTCTCATCTGTGGCTCCGTTGCAAAACATTTCCCAGACCTCTGTATTGGCTCCCTTATTTTTGTGTATTAAGATTCACCGCTGTTGGAGCTCAGCCTGTGATTGTGTTTCAGGATCAGAGTGCTTTGGATGTGGGGAGTGATGTCAATGAGTTGCAGGATGAGTTTCAAGATGGCAATGGTTTAGCCAGTGATCTTGATGCAGAGAATGACCAGGAGATCCCTGTTCAAAGTGTAGTTTCCCATGAGAATGTCCGCGAGGGGTGTGGGGATGATGGTGTGCTTTCTGAATTGTTACCAGAGAGTTCCTGTGATAGGGAACATGAAAACAGCTCGGCACCTGGCCCAGCTGTAGAAATTAATGAGCAAATAGATAGACAGGAGGAGATCAGTCAAAACAGGAGAGCCGAACAGTGGCTTCGGCGATCTGCCAGGCTCCGAGAGAAAAAGATAAGAAATTCTCAGCTAAAGCGAAACCAATTTCTGAGTGCTAGAGACATAGCTAACGAGGAGATAAAAGCCCCAAGTACAGTATATGTAGTCAGATGAAGCATAGTTTGGAATCAAGTCAAGATCTCATCCTTGTTCATGGAAACTTTGCTTGGAAAATTCATGTTTTAAGTGCCTTTGTTTCATGGTTTTGATCTATGCTTCTATCTTCATGCCTTGGATTCATGTTTCTTGATTTCTTGCATTTTATTTGGGAAGTTTTGACTTTGTTTTTATGGACTTTGCTGGACTATTACTCTGGACTGCTTTGTCCCTGCTTATCTTCCTACCTAATTGGATTTACCTATTTCTTTAAAGTGTTTTTTTACCTTACTGCTTTTTAATTATCTTCAATAAAATGACTGTTTTCTATCCAACGGTGTGGTGTTTAAAGTCAGAGGGCTTTTCCTGTCCTGGAGTGCAACAACCACATTGTGTCCACCGGAGCCAGACTATTAAGCATATCATTAACCCATTCGAAATTGCTACACTGCATCCCTTTCTGATTGCAGTTCTCTCAGAGGTGGATCAATAAATGACTACCTGTCTGTGTATGATTTGGCTTTCAGGAAAGTTAGACATGCCAGGCTCCTGAACCCATGATTTTAGCAAAGATGAACTCACTCAATAGAAGCACTTGGATATTTAGGAGTCTTATGTGGTTTAAGTGTTGCAGAAGCAGTGTATTAGGCCCTTTCTACACTGCCATATCAAATCCAGATTATCTACTTTGAACTGGATTATATGGCAGTGTAGACTCATACGAGGCTTGAATGAAAAGTAATGCCTCCACCTTCATTACTTGGATTTGTATGGGAATATTTTAATAAATCAAATGTAGAAATAATCCTTAGAATGTGCTCTTTAACTACTCACTTTTTGACATAATAACCACACAATTTGATACATTTCTGCCAACAATTAACAAGTTTTCTGAAGCCATCACGGAAGAAGTCAACACACAGTTTCCGCAACCCATCGTGCCCAGATATTCTGATAGCTAAGCAAAGCAATAATGTGACCCACACGTTTTTTTTTTTGAAATGCCAATTATGCTTAAAATTTCTCTCTGAGTGATACGACGATTGTCCTGAATCAATCTGTCAATCTTTTGCTTGTGAAACACAGTGGTTGCTGTCACAGCACGTCCAACTCTTTGTTTGTCAGGCAAGTCAGATGTTCCCACCTCAACGTCTTTAAACTTACTTACCCAACGACGCACAGTACTCACATCAACACAATCACCATAAACAGCTTGCATTCTCTGATGAATCGCCTTTGGGGTGACACCTTCTGCTGTCAAGAATTCAATGACTGCACGTTGCTTAAGTCAGATTGACTGACCGTCTGTGCAGGGTTCCATATTTCGCACTTTAACAAGACAACTGTTCAATGCTAAGTCTTCCCTCCAAAATGGAACTGTAGAGGAGAGTCTACTGAACAAGCCAGTACCTGCCGCATACCTGTGATGGCACGGGTGGCGCCACCTATGTGTAGAACTGTAAGTTGCAGGATGTGAACTGTTGTATCATGCCTCATTTTGTCTTTTTACCCTGTAAATGTATAGTTGGATTGATTGGTTATTTATAGCTGTCAATCAATGTTGTTTGCACCAGTTGAATTGCTCTTCCTGCTCAATTGTTTGACCCCACCTCTTCCTAGAGAGCAGGACAGTGTTTCCTTTTCCATTCCACCATCAAACTTTCTATCAGATGGACGTGAAAGAGAGACTTGGCTCTGAAGCCCTTGATTAAGTTACCTCTCAGCACCAATTCTGAGGATCTTACCCTTGAGATGTATGCTTCATGTTCAGATCAACCTGGACGACATTAAGAAGTCTCAAGCGCCTTCAAACCAGTTCTTTGGCACCAGAGGAAGGCTTTGTGCCTTCAAAATATAGGCCATTGGAATTGGGGTTGTGATTATTCCGATATTCACAGCCATTGAGAAAGACGGACCTGGAAAAGCTTCTCAGCTGCAAAACCCCTTGGACCCAAGACAACCAGAGACTGTAATATCTATTTCCTTTACCCCCTTTGAAACTTCCAGCTTATTGCCTTAAAGTGATAACTCTTTGTGAACAATAAAACTTATTTTGAGTTATCTACAGTGTTTTGGTCTTTGGGAGTTCCAGTTTTCCTAAAGGAGGGCAAGAAGCAATCCCCTGGGGGAAGGATGTCACGTCCATGCCTCTTTCACTGAGAGTTATAGCCCCCATCTGTTGAGGAGTTATGCAGGTGGAGGCATTACTTTTCATTCAACCCTCGTATAATCCAGTTCAAAGCAGATAATCTGTCTTATATAACAGGGTAAAGGGGGCCTTAATTGCACTGCCATCACACATATAGAAGAACATAGAATTTTAAAATCTTAAGGTATCTGGTCGAACCCCATGGCGCACAGGAAGACACAAGTCAAGCACTCCCAAAAGAGACTCATCCAACTTCTGCTTGACTTCAGAGTCTGTATCAGCTTCCAATATTTCTTGGCTTTCTCCGCTATAGATGATAAAAAGTATGAAAGGATGTTTTTTTTTCTCAGTAGACAAATACACTTGGAAAAGTATTCAGATAAGACAACTATCAAATTAAAAAACTAGACACACATTTCCCAAGGCAATTTCTTCCTTGTTGATGAAGGCACATTTGCAAGGAATGAGATTATTATGCAATGCAGGGAGACACCTAGTGGTCATGCTTTGTATTGCAGCAAGGTAAGACAACAGCACCATCAATGAAAGAAACCATAGAATCATAGAATCTAGAATTGGAAGAGACCTTGTGGGCCATCCAGTCCAACCCCATTCTGCCAAGAAGCAGGAAATTTTCATTCAAAGCACCCACAACAGATGGCCATCCAGCATCCGCTTAAAAGCCTTCAAAGAAGGAGCCTCCAGAACACTCTGGGGCAGAGAGTTCCACTGCTGAACAGCTCTCACAGTCAGGAAGTTCTTCCTAATGCTCATATGCATTCCAAAGCCTTTGCCCATTCTGTTGCTTCCTTCTGTCTGGCCTTCAACTTGCAAGAAGTGGCCATGGTACCCAAGATATTTTGCTGCCTGAAGCAAAACACAGGTGTCAATTCTATTCCATTATCAACTGGGAAATATGATTTTCCCTATGTGTTCTGTTGTGCGCTGGGCCTGTATACTTTTCTATAAGAAGTATACTTTAAGCCCAGCGGGAAGCCAGGGGCGCCTCAAAGAGAGGTTCTTAGGGAATTTTCTGAAGTGATGGTCTTTAGAGTCTTCAATGATTCAATGAGTCTTCAACAAAGTATTTATTATGGAACAAACAACAAATCTTCAATGGTTCAAACAACACTTCAAGGCTTTCTTAGTCTAGTCCTCAATGGACTGGAACCTGACTTTGATTAACTGTACTTTCTCTGTAGAAAAGGATCCTTTTTAGCTTCTCCCAGGCTGCTTACTTTCTATGCCTCATCAATACCGATTCCAAATGCGTCTGGGTATCGAGTAGACCTACCAGCTGAGGCTTGAAGATATTTCAGCTGGAGTTCCATGGATCTGTAGTGCTGTCCTCCCTCAGAGAATTCTTTGAGAACTTCAGGGCTGTTTTCCCTCTGATTGCTGTGAGGCTGAGAGGCAGTGAACCTTCAGCCAGAGCCTTGGGACCTTTTCCCTGGAATTTCTGCTTCTGTTTCCCCAGATGTTTTTGAGAAAGGAAGCTTTTCTACGGGATGAGCTGGTCTATGTCCTATATCTTAGCTACCTTGTGTGAGACTGCCCAAAAAATGGCTCCTTTCCCCCTCAGAGCCCTGAACAAGGGGCAGAACCAAAGCTTAAGTATGATAGACAGGTAGCCTGCCCTATGATTGCAAACTTTAACAGAAAGAAAATAAAGTCGGAGCTCCTGGTACAGCCATACCAGCACACTATGTTTAGGTGGAATCTCTTTTTAAACCCTTGGGCCAGCAGGACTGATGACCAACAGGTCTGAGGTTTGAATATGGGGAGAACATGGATGAGCTCCCTTTGTCAGCTCCAGCTCCCCATGAGGGGACATGAGAGAAGCCTCCCACAAGGATGATAAAACATCAAAAACATTTGGGCATCCCCTGGGCAATGTCCTTGCAGACGGCCAATTCTCTCACACCAGAAGCGACTTGCAGTTTCTCAAGTCGCTCCTGACACACACAAACATAAATCAAATTCATAGGTTTCTGTTCTAATTTTGAAAACAGTCAAAATCAAACACACTCCATCTTTGGCATGATGTCTTTACATGGCTTTGTTGGGTTTAGCTTTGTTGGGTTTTGCTTCCAGGCAGATGCTGAATTTTTGGCAAGCATGCAACAAAATGGGAACAAGTGCATAGGATCTCTGGAAATTTGGAAAATTTGGACAAAGGAAAGGCAAGGAAAGGCATATAATCTGTGAAGAGTTTGATAAAGTATCTCAGGCTGGATCTATAATACATTGAACTGGATTATATGGCAATGTAGATCTCCTAGCTGAACTTTCCAGCCAAACATTTTGGCTGCAAATTTCACAATGATGTAGTTACTCAATTGACCTCTGGGTGGCAGTGTTGCCATCTATTCCAACATTTTGCACCTCTCATTCCCTTTATGTACTTGAAGAAGAGTGCATAATACAATTAATACAGTTTGACACCACTTTAACTTTCAAGACTCCAGCCTATGGAATCCTGGGAGACATAGTTTGGTAAAGTAACAACACTCCTTGCAAAACTACAACTCCCAGTATTCTATAGCATTGCACCATGGTAGTTAAATGGATGCCAAACTGCATTCCTTCTACATTCTGTTGAATTTTGGGGGTTCCCATACATTTCACAGAGGCAAGGAATACTTGGTGGTTCAGTTAGTATTATGCTCTGTAATACAGCCTGTAATGTCTGGTATTCCTTGGCAAGCTTTCCGAGCTTTTTGGGAGGTTTCTGACACGTGGCAACCCTATCCGAGAGTTTTCTTGGCAAGACTGAGGTTTTCCATGGTTTTGCTTTGATGCTGAGATAGTGTCCCAGGTCACCCAGTGGTTTTCCCTGGTTAAATAGAGGGGTTAAATAGAGGTCTTTGGGGTTATTGTTGAGTATGA